GTTTTTATTTTGATGTTTTGTGGGAATGCGCGGATTGCGAGGGCTGTTGCAGAAGCAGCACAGTTGCTCTTGAGTTCTAGCCCTCGTCATCATCTTCAGTTCTTATTTTGCAGAACCTAAAATGTTATCCGCATAAAGAAATTGCGTTGTACTTGTATTCTTACATGACTTGGCAAAAAGCCAAGAGAGCTGCACGCGACGCGCGCACGATGTTAGTAAAAACGTGAGTTTGCAAAAACGGGCGGCGTAGCAAGGAATTACGACTTTCCCACGGTCCCGTACTCTGACCCCGTGCAGTTTTGGGCGGGGGGACCACGACACATCGACAGCTGGGGGCTGATAGTCTCATACACCCTCAATGTGTTTGAGCGTACCATGTGTCTTATGCACGCTCGGGCACCACACACGGAGCGCAGCCAAGCCGCTAGCCCTAAAAAACGCTGAACAAGCGCATCTAGAGAGTGTAGCACAGTCTCTTTTGTTTGGTAAAGCACTATGAGGGGGATCACGCGATACATGACCTTTTGAAATTCACTCGCCGTACCGTAGATGGAGATGAGTTTTGGAAGCCAGCAAGTATGTAGAACGCGGATGTTGATTTTGAAATCAGTGCTGGTGTTGACCTGATCGGTATCCGAAGAGAAGAGTACGGTTGAGTTCATAAATCATCAAGTCGAATGGAAAGGGTAGCGTACTGGGATGTCTGTAGTACGCACGTGTGCTGTGAGAATCACCACGGCTCACCTGGTTATTACCTTTGGGTTCAAAGACTGTATTGCTCGTTTTAGGTGTGGATGTGTGCAAATCGTATACCTTGGTTTGCCACAGTACCAGTGTCAATGCGCAGAAGCTCCAGTAAGTTTGAACGTGGGAGGTTCCTTCAGATCCTTATCACAATAGTGCTGAGTTAGCAAAAGTAAGATCCTAACGCGCACTCGCCTGGTACGGCGGGACCCAAACCCATTTCACCCATACCAGACGAGTGCGCTGCTATACATCAATCCACTTTTACACTCGAGAGCTTAGGAGGGTACGCGTTGCCCAACCACACTGTCTGGTATCGATCGGCGCTGGCCGCTAGTGACTCATGAGACTGTGTTACAAGGCAACGCGTATCTTCCTATTTTCTAACACTCTCTCAAACAGTCGTGGCCGGCGTCGCCTACTTCTGTCCATGGCTGCGTTCTATATGTGGCATTGAAACGCTGCTGTAATGATACCGCATCGACGCACGTTAAACCGCGGCGTTACGGCGCATCAGGCGTGTCATCGCGAACTCTGAACTCAGCCTAACTCAACGCTTTTGTGATAAGTTTCGGAGTGCGGACTGCGGCGTTAAACAGTAGTCGCAGCAGTTATAATGAAACATCATCCAAGTCTTCGGATCCTTTTCACTTTCAGACAACAACTACCGAAGCGCCTACCACTCTCCCACCCACTACTGTGCCCACAACGGTTCCGGTTCAGTATCCCACGGTACGTCCGATTAGTTGTTCCTGATCTATTGTAAAGTGCTGTTTCTTCTTGTAGGCTCACACCGAAAGCCCGGGACAAGGACAGTGTCAGTGCATAATGATCCAGATTTCGGGACCAACCTTCTGCCCAGTACCAGTGCAACTGCAACGGTCAAGTGAGTGCCTGAAAGTTTTTTTTGAGCAGAAGGTCCGGAGACGATTTGACAGAATTGTACCTGAAATCAAAAATAAAAGACTTCATGCACGGATAATGTTTATGGAGGTTTCAGAAAAGAGTTTCATAGTGATCCCGCGTACGCTTCTTAAGAATAACACTCCTTGATGGGTAACATACTTTTTCCCCACTTTCATGGGTCTCCAAAAGGCTGCTCTGCTGGGTTCGCATGAATCAGCTTTTGCGGTGTATTTACGAAAGTTGTCCTAACATACACTGCTTATCCCCGAGTCAGAGTAGGCGTGTCATTTGAACATGGCACGGAACTGGTTACTCGTGCAATATTCGAGTCTGGGACAACTGTCATCTTGTTCTGTGCTGGACAGAGACACGACAACAATTGTGTCAAGGTGAAAATGTCTCATCCAGGAGCATTAGACACCGCGACTTATGGTAAGTAGGAGCATGCGACCACGCCTGCACGATCTCAGGGATTCCGAGTGTAGCATCTTTAGCATCAGCGCTTGATATCTGGATGTGTACAGGGGAGTCGATAAACAAGCTTTGTATCTTCCTTGAGTTCCAAAGCGCTAGATAAGTTACACTTTAAAAAAAATTTTTTGAAAAAATTCGATTGACAGTTCCACCACCCGATATTCAACGCATATTGTATACAATCATAATACTCCGCCACAGCCTTCTGGACGAGCGCCATTGAGAGATTCTGCCATGCGACGGTGACTTGGTACCTGAGTTCAGCGAGGTCAGTTGATTTACCGCCCCCTGTATAACGCGCGCGTTGAGATCCGCCCCGAACACGATAATTGAGTGGTTAGAGGTGAGGTGACCCTCTTATAGATATTTCGTCTTCTTCCAGGTACTCCAACGCCTTCTGACCATTCCAAGTGGCGAAGAGTTTTTGCAGCCCGACCTTCGATTCCATGGGTACCGACCTGCAATCCGCACGGTATCCAGTACAATTTCCAAGAACGGTGCTACAAGCGACGTACGTGAAGGCCGGATATTTCGCACACGAGATTGGGTCCGATGTACCCGTCAGCGTTCACCGGTTTCAGAAATGGGGGATGGGAGGGGGGGGTCGGGTCCACTGAGAAAATATCGGCTCATCATTCAGGGAACGTTCCGGTTCAAACGCAACGCAACCTGCTGCCTCGAGACATGCAGTGAAGATGAATCCGAACCGGTAAGGCGAGCGTTGTCGGAGCTGCTTGATGTTAAGGGTCTTCGCAGGTCTCCAGTACTGCGCTGGGTGACCTCTATACAAGAAGTTTCAGCAGCCTGTTTGTGGATGGACGTCTTGAATCCCAAAAGGCTTCTCCCAGTAAGACTGGATTGGAGATGAGTTTACATTTGTGGGTGTGCATGCAGGAATGGGCGTTCGCCTGGTTGTTCTCGCTTATGCAAGGGGTCATCTTGGGCATTTTTCCGCCCTGGTACTCGTATCCACTTCCCTTTGTCGCGGACCTAATATGGAAAACTTTGCTGATATGTGACCCGGCCAAGGTGTCTTTTTTATGTATATTTTATTCATAGTCGGCCACATAATGGCCGAACACAGACAAGGAATGATCATTCTTCACTCAGCATGCTGAAAGCACAGCAGAAAACCAAAACTGTGTTGGCAGGAACTAAAAAATTTACTCATGAGACAGCTACCAATCTGTCTCGGGCAGCGAGAAACACTTTGTGGATGAACAACACGTTATCTGGGTTGGTCTAGTAAGATGAACCGTGTGGTCATGTTCAAGTTACTTCTCCCTTATGGATATTGGAAGGGTTTTTTCATCATGTGGGTTATTTTCATTTATGCATGTTGGATGACTTCGAGGGCTAGATCCCTGGCGTGAACTGCACACATATGCTCGTAAAGGCTAATCGTTCCCGCATGAACCGTACTCTTACGTAGACCGCGCTCATCTGTAACAAAAGTGGGTTACCGTAAGAGTACGGTACAGGGGCAAAGCCGCCTGAGCCAAAAACAAATATTCATGGAAGTCTTATCAGTAGAGCTGTGAGGTGATGCTACTGTATCATGCACAGATAGCCCTTTCTACTCTAACAAACTACGGAAAATGGGCACCTACACACGACGACACCCTGGAATCCATTGGGGAGATCCGATTTTTCCCTACTCCACGGCAATGTGCTTTTATGATGGCGCGTCAGCAAATTAAGTTCCTCGGTCAGGAATAGCACTGGGGCCAGCTTATTCACTAGACATGATGCGTTCTGGCTATCACTTCTTAGGTCCGCACGGGTTTCCTCGAAAAAGGAATCGGTGATAGACGTTGATTTGAGAGCAAGATAGACCGCTTCTTCTCATTGCTCTCACAGTGTTTATGGAAGAGCCGAGAGTTGTCCAGTAAATTTGGCACGGGTCCCTTTTACTAATGGTGGTTGCCTTACAGATTGGAAACTCGTTCTATCAAGAAATAGTTAGCCAGTCTAAAAGCTCATTCATAGTGTCGCAGGACTTTTCGCTCAACCCAATGCTACGGTATAGAAGTGCGTGCTAACAGCAGTCTGAGAACTTGATGAACGTTATGTTCCTCTCTCCTAAATAGTGTGTTTCAAAGTTGGGATCAGTACGACACACAGCTGCTCTGAAAGTAGCATAAGGAGTCTCAGAGGCCTTTTAGATTCTTGACCTTTACTCTACTAGCGTTTCAGCTTGTTTGCCTTTTCCAGAGACAGACAAACCCTGACACACAAAGCCTGACACATTTGAGAGTGATCTGCTCAAAGACCCACTCAGTCCTTGAAGCATTTTATACTCTGGTAGATCTTCATCAGGTATCGAATAACCGCAGAAAGCTAATCAGAGGTGGGGAATGCGGCAAAGTCGCAGGTTCTAACCACACACTCTTTCTCTCTGTCCTTTCCAAGATCGCCAGCAGGAAATGTTACAGTCTTGAGAAGGCTCTATCACGATCTTCACCCTGGATGAAAGATTCGAAACTAGGTGCGATGTCTCACAGCAGCGGAAGGTTGAAGACACGAACACAAATTTGTAGTCTCGAAGCGTGCCTCTAACTTCAGGATACCTTGCCGATCTGAACCTTTCGCGCGTACGGCGGAAGGGGGGGGGTAGCTAGATACGGGACAGCGCACTACCAGGGAACCCTCAAGATGTGCGCAGGACGTGGCGTTAGACAATGGACAGAGCACTGTCTTCGTCAGGAGTGTTCAGCGTCCTTATCACGCGTTTTAGAGCCGCAAAACTGAAACTTCCACTGTCCTTGAAGGGAGGAACATCTTGTGAAGGAAGGCGTCCGCATATCAGGTGCTTGCAACACATGCCATCGTGTTCTTATTTTTGGCGTGTGAACATTCAACAACCAGCCCGATTTATGGGCAATAAGAGCTTATACAATATCGACTCAATCGGAATGACTACAGTAATGGCAACTATGGGAAGTAGTGCTTCTAATGTTTTTTATTGTAGAGCACCCTGTGTTATCAACGATGCTCCCGTTGTCACTCCAGCCCCAGAGGTCACAGAGGTTGGTGAAACAAGAAACCAAAGCAATTGGACTAGCCTGTCGTTTTGATGTTCTTAACTTACACTTTTCAGACCTACCCTCCGATTACGTATCCACCTGAGACCCCCGCTACAGAGCCCCCAACGCTGGTTGCTTCTGATGCTGCTCAACATCAACAGGGTAAGCGCTCATTCAGTTGCAGCGACCAGTGTCTCGGGAAGCAAGATTTTCCTAAAGTCTCCGAATCTCCGAAGAGTTCTCCGAAACCTTAAGAATCTCTTGTGGTTTTTTCCCGAAAATGTCCGACCTTTGGAGTCCTTAGCTCTCCTCTTAAGGGAGGCCCTTATCTTTATAACAAGTCTCGGGTCCCGCATTCAGGCCACTCTGTAGATCGTTTAAATGCGTCTGTGGAAAGAACTTCTGAATAGAGCTGACTATCTGAATAGAGCTGATTATCACTCCCATTTTAACTTCGCTTGGGTTTTTTCATACACACTTCATTACGCATAATTTCGACTCTCATTAGCGCCGAAGCTCAAGAACGATCTGGTCTCGCCGATCAACGCGCTTTCAGTAAGAACATGTAAGAAGGTGGTGGAAAAAACAGGGCAAAACATTAAGCTGAAAGGGTCCTGTACTGAAAGTTGAGAAGTTCGCGCTCACCAGAAGTTTGTATCGTTGTTTCTGAGGAGAAGCCATAACACTTTTTCAGCGGTCTCACTAGTACCTGTCTGATGGAAGCTCCCTAGGGATGTCATAGCTTTGCAAAATGCTGTTTCTGAAGGAAGTTACGAAAAATCTTCATGGTAAAGGCGGTAGTCTAGGGTGAGGTAGCGTGCACCAACACTTAAATGCGACGCAGCTGGAACAAAACCGCATTTAAAATAACGTCGTTCTGAGTAACAAGTTCAGCGAAGTAGTCGCATAGTGGGAGGGGAGTGTATGGTCGCCCTTTTTATGGGGGAAGGGAAGGACCCAGATCGACGGAGCAATTTTCTTGTCGCTTGACCCTGCGTGAACGTAACAATTGCATTGGTACATGGACGAAGCGTGTGATTTGCTTACTCTTCAGACGTCTGATCATCAAGTCCGGCAAGAGCGATCAGGTTTTGGGTGTCGTCGCTCCATATATATAAACACTGGTTTTTTTTCCGCGGCGTTACATCGGTCACAAGGTTGAAAACACCAAAGCAACTATGAGGAATTTTTCTTATTGTAGGCAGGTGTCATGTGAATGTCACGTTGATTCTGAACAGCCGAGTATGTGGCTCATCCATATAAAGGGCTACAAGAAATCCTCTTTTTTCCTTACTTTGGTTGAGGACTTCAAGCATTACTTACAGTCGCGACACAGTATCCTCTGACAACCACATGTGTAATGTATATGGCTGTGCCAGCTTCGTCTTGCGTTTGCCTGCCACAATACGACCAATGTGCTCAGAACATTTGCTGTCTGAAGGCGAAATTCCGCAGTCATAAGGTGAGCTGTACCATTCAACCCTTCCAGCATAATCTCCACTATTCATTGCTTTTTCTCAGGCCGTTGCCACCCATCAGACCAAAGAACCAAGCACGGTCGACATGCTCATGAATATCTTGAAGAAAATCAAGACAAAGCTCAACGACTAGAACGAACATTTAAATGTAATTTGCATGTCTGTACAAAATGGTGCTCTCATAGAATTATAGTAAAGCATTGAATTAGAATAATTGGTGAAAATTTGTTGGAGTTGTGGAGAACCAACACTGTAAAGGTGAGGGCATCCTTCTTCTGATTATTGTGCCGATTTTAAGCAGCGTACCAGAGACGGCGTTGTCGCGTGGCCAAAAGTTGCTTCGATCCTTTCAGGTTCTGGTAAAGCCTTTGCCGAAACTGCGTAAGCAATTAAAGTGATCTGCTAACCTCGCAGGGCTTTTGTCCGACACAATATTTATTGCATACCTAGCAAACAGAAGTGAAGGTAAAAGAGCTGTTACGTACGTATATGCTTCACAAGGGCTTTAATATTAAATTTTCAAAAATCTTAAAATAGTGCTGTCCCGGAGCCTCATTGCAATCTGAATGTTGAACACATAAAAGAGGCGCCAAAATTTATTGCGAAAGACTCAAAAGATTCAAAAGAATCCAAAAGTTTTCACAAAAATTTTATATTGTTTATACTCCTTCTTCTTCGAATATTTCGGTGCCTAGCACCTTCTTCAGCGATCTGAAATACTACAGTTAGCCACCTCCACCGGAATCCTGAA